GAGGCACTTTAAAGAAAACACTAGACAAACAATCACTAAACAAAATAAAAAACTGAGACTCTTTCCAAAATCTAGTCTGTAGGACACATTGTCCTTATCTCCCTCTGGGTAAACTGTATTAAAATGCTCTATCAGTATTAAAAAAGAGAGATGAGCAATTTTCCTGCCATTTAGTGCACACACAAACACTATAATTCCTGTTTTTTTTTTGTTTCCACTCTCATGGGTTGTTTTAACCCCTCAGAAAATTTAACTATTTGCTTAATGATGTTTAAAGTACTAGTAGGAAATCTGCTCTTAAACAGACATTTCAAGTTACCTGCTGTAGTATACATTACAGCTAGATTAAAAAATGCCAGCCTTTTAGCAAACAAATTGTTAAAAAATATACATTTTAACTGAACCGAATTAAATTAAACTAGGCCTCAAAATTCCTATGTGAAGACTTTAAAAATAAAGATCAGATAAAAAATCAGATAATTGCAATGAATACACATCAAGAAAGTGTTTTCTCCCCTTTCTCACTTCTTATCCAAAAAACTGAACTGTTGGCCTGTCCACATCAACACAACCGTGCGTAGACATGAGATTTTAATCCAGGGCACACAAATTCCAGTCCACGAGTGTCTGTTTTAGTGCTGAAACAGTGTACATTGTAACAGCAGTTTGTGGAGAATACCATGCCAACAGCCTATCACAGGATTTTAGGCGAAAGAGTCCTTCCTTTTAGATTTTAGCTCCTCCTGTACTAATCTGTTTCCCCCAAAACTCAAAAATGCTGCCATGGTTCAACATCTGACACTGTAGCTCCTCAATGGACTTCTTTCAAACCACGTTACTAAGTAACCACAGTTATTACTCACAGAACATGAAGATCCGGGTGTTTCTACACATGCAGATGACTCTATTATTTATTTTATTTGGACAAGATCTGCACCATGAAAGCAAAACTATTTTGACAGAGACATGTAGAGGTTTTTAACAGTTGAAACAGTTTTAATTCTTGTTCAAATTGTTTGGTTCTCCAATTTCCCTTGTGATAATCTCTGAATAGGGTCCTTTGTTTCACTTATTAGATGAAGGTCCTGACTACTCAGATATCAACTTTTCTATTTCCTATTTTCCTAATGTATGGTCCTATATATTTCGATATATTTTCCTATTTTCTGAAGCGTTTGCGTGGTAAACAATGTGCAGTATGTACAACATATGGCCACCCTAAGGAAAATCCCATGACTGTTCATACTGTACACCTCATTCCAGGCAAATAAAACTCATTGCTATATTAAGATCCCTCTGCAGACTGGCCTGCAGATGATTAAACTCATTCCTGCGTAAAAGGAGATATGGAAATATGGCTCTAAATTCATTCAAACACATACAGCTCCTTTCAAGACTAAAATTGTGTTGAGATTATAGTTCCTCTATCCTGGAAGTCAGTTTGGGTTGTAGAAAATATCACACATGTCAAAGGACAGCCAAGGTCACTCCTTCACTTCTCTGTTAAAGCCATGTGATTTCCCAGTTCTCTCTTTCAGGAATCTGACCAGTAAGTTAAGCAAGACCTCTCTTACATTGCATTAACCTTTTCGAGACAAAACACTGTTAAAATTAACAGTTTTTACCATTCACAAATGGCCTATTCCAACCAGTTCCTACAAAAGTGGAAGGAAATCAAGGCTTGAAAGGAAGAGTATAAAAGATTTAAAAATGATCTGTAATGACCCTGGCAACTCTGTTCTCTAAGAGTGTTTTACAGAGGAATACCAAAGTAAAGATGAAAACATTTACAACTAAACAGAAAATCCTTCCGTAGTTCAATTCCAAAATACTGTTCACTGAAATCCTGTCCTGTTCGGGAACATTTATTGGTACTAATTGTGACAGTACAGTAGTGCTGGCCTGGGAAGCTTTTCTTCACTCAACAAGATCACCAAAGACTAATTAAAGAAAGAAAGGAGAGGATTTTTGATGTTGCCAAGTTCTCCCTTCAGAACGTTAACTGAGACATCTTTGAAGTTCTGTGAGCTTCCAGTAGTGGCCATCCTCATCATTATCCTTCTCATCCACCCCAAATGCACCGTGAGAAATCAGAACAAACAAGGCAAAGGACCAGTCAGGAAACCAGATACTCACAGAATTGTCATGTGTTTTGCACTGTGTACCCGTTATCTTCACAACGCTATAAACATGCAAGTTGCTTGCTTGTTCAGATTGTGTTATAGATATTGAGAATCAGAACAACTGCTTAGCATCTCTTTAGCTTAATGTTGTCATTTTTTAATTTAATTCCTATAATTGGAAATTACTTTTTTAGTTTTTGTACCGGCACCAAGTTAAGTTCAATGTCGGAAGCCAATAACCTCTTCAAATGGATGTGCAAATTACTGAGGTCTGTCAAAGATTCCCACCAGCACTTAAATACCCTTTAAATCTACAGAGCCCTTTAACGGTTACACAGGCAGTGAGCTCAGACGCAATATTGAACACATATCCCCACAGGAGTCCATAGTTTCCCTTGGCTCACAAAGTTCTTTGGTAAAATCTTTCAGCTCTGGTGGAAAACATGTTTATTTTTCCACTTGGTTTTGTTACTGGTCAATATGCCCCAGTGTACCTACGACACACCTGTGTGCAGCTTGCCTCATTTTAGCTTCGTGTGTACTTGATTGAATTCTGAGAAAACAAATCTGTTTGAAAATAAAGTTTCTGTTACTTTCCTTCAGCTTGTCTGTGGAATACGATGCATCTTTCGATGCGTGTTCCAGTCTGATTTAAAAGCGGTTTGACGAGAACGGGGCTTTCCAAGAAATTCAATGAGTGTCCTGCACAGTCCCACAGGACACGTCCACATCCCAGATTGTCTTACTGAGCCTTACTGAGCTCCTAGTTTCACTTCCAGAAAATCTGACACATTCAGTTAGTCTACCTGTGTCTGTGTGAGCTGTTTTTTTTTTAAAAAAACGAAAAGACACACAAAGCCCTTTCAGAATTTGTGAAACATTTTAAGTTAACTAGTGCTCTACACGCCCTCACTTCAGTGCTCTACACTTCAGGGCACCTGAGAGAGACATTTCACTGTGGAAATGCTGGGATAGGGCTCACAGGCATAAAGGTCTTCATTAGAATCCTAAGAAACGGGGGAAGGCCGTTGAGCCAAACCTTGTATATCTCGGTATGAACATCGATTTTACTTTTTCAGTGCCTTTTCGAATCAAAAAGAATTGGAAAATTCTAAAATGATGTAAAATATAAATCAACCAAACGCTACAGTTATAAACATCATGTTACGTCAAACAGAAATGTCACTTGGCCTGATGGATCTGAACAGACCTGGTGACCACAGCTGACATGTAATCTCCAGCTAACAACAAAGGATTACCTGGGCCATCGCACTGCAAAGCAGTTGTACTCGTGTCCAGAAACAGCTGAGCTTATTGAAAGGCTAGGTATGAAAGACTAGCTCTTCACAGGGCTATTAAAAATCTTATAACACCTAGCTGGCTTTGATTAGGAGGCTACAAGGATTTTCTTCAATGCTGTTTTTAAGTTAACTTAGTGCTAAGAAATCACAGTTCCTTTTTGAGCACAAAGGAAAAACATTCTGCAATAAACAAAGACCTAATATATAACGTTCATCATATCTTATAATCTTAGCATGCTCTGCTGGGTTTAGTATACTGCACTCTTTTGATAAAGGAAATATAAATGGCTTATGTTGCCCAGTTACAAAAGAATTGTGCAAATGAGCCCATGGGAAATCTTTAGCCTGTCATGGGAGGTTTCTGTGATAGTCCACAACTGGCTTGAATTGGTTCCTTATTAGGAAGCTACAGGTGTAACCTCGCATACTGGTATAATTTTCCTGAATATGAGCAATACGTGTTGTGTTTCTCTTCAACTGAAACGCCAAGTTAAAAATAACTGCTAGAGTGTCTTCTCCTCGTTCCTAACCGTTCACGACAGACAAGGTGGTGTTTACTGTAATTAAAGGAGCAATACCAAACCTGCCAGACCTACAGCATTACACAGGCTCAGCCCTCTCACCTTTCTGATCTGACAACTGCTCCGGCCTCCTAACACACAGAAGGGAAAGTAAAAGAGTGCTGTAGGCTGCACCTGTCCCTGCCAACTGACTCACATACTTCCGCAGTTTTAGGTTTTTTTCTGCTGCACTCCTTCACTGAAAATGTACCACGTTTTGTACTTTTTTCATCAACGTGACAAATCGTGTGTTCCGGCAGTCTAGTGAAAAAAATCAAAAAGCAGCAATCTTCTGAATTCTGTTCACACATATTATTGATTGGCTGTGACATTTGTACATTTTATTGCATATTTTCAGGACACTGAAGCAGCTGAGTGGGTATTGCGCAAAACTATTAACTGGAGAAACAGCTTTTTCACTCCATACTGTGAGGTCATTCATTACCTTGATTTTCGGATTGTTTGATTGTGCTTCAGTGCGAAAATTCTTTACACAAAAATTGCAGATAAAACACCTACAGCAGCCTATATCCAACCTAGGTTATGCATAGCCGAGACAAACTCAAGCCGGAGCCATTTGAAACAGATGTAGTCATGCTAAACTGTGTCTTTATTTCTACTGTAAGTCAAATCGCACTCCAATGCCTTCTGCCTGCTTCTTGGTATCACAAGGACATGACTGACAGTCCACATTAATGTGTAAAGTGGCAAACTGTTTCAAAGGGCACCGTAGCAAATAAAAAACGGACTGATTAAGAAATGCTGCCTTTTTTTTTTAAATGGCTGAGCTCCAGTTTACTCAGGTGTTATCATGCCAGGAGGCACGCAGGTGACATTCTGCTCATTCCACCTGTTTCCCAGGCGAAATGTTTCTTCGCAAACTTTCCTGTTTAAGTACAAAGAGTGAAAAGAAAAAAACACATCTGAGCTGTCACCTTTCCCTAATACACTGCGAAGCTATCCGCATGAAAGAATCAGTCAGTCAAAAGGTCTCCAAAAAACAAAAGCTGTCTTACCTGTTTGAAGTTTCTGAGGAGAAGGACACTTCGGCCACGGTCTGTGATACCATTTACTGAGGAACGTCACGGACCTGGAGAGCACACAACTGCATCTTCTTGGTTTCTGGAAGGACGGTCCAGCTACAGCCCCAAATGATCGTTTATGGGAAGATTTCACCCGCTCAATGCACAGAGTTCCTTCTGCTTCTCGCACTCGGGCAAGTCTCAGGGAGAAGCTGGTAATTAGTACTAGCTGGAGTAAAATACCTGACTCTCACTGACATAAGCTGCACATTCCACTGCACTGAAAAAAAAAGAAAGTTCTTAAGGAAAACTAGCTAAAGCGGACACACTCAGAGTCTTGATAACACTTTCCAGCTTTACATGTCCCACTCACTGAAATAAGAAGGACGCAACCTCAGGTGTTTGGGAATACAAGACAAACTAATAAAAAGAAAGAGAAAACAACCCAAGGCAGGATAAAGTAACCCAAACCAGCACGGCAAGTGTGGGAAAAGTTTAGTCTCCTCTCTGCCTTTCTTCTTCAGTGCCTGTCTCACAGTAGCAAGGTTGTCTCTTTGTATACTCCCTGCCCCGAAACTCACCAAACCAGAATTCTACTCCTAACACCAGCAACTTCCCATAATTCTAAATTGAAATTTTATCCCATGTGTTGAGCCATGCCTGGCTGAAGGCCAGCTCAGCATTCCTGTTGTTTTGGGAGTGTAGGTACGTTTTTCTTCCCCCTGAAATACACAGAGATTAAAGAGGGCGGGAGGAGTGAGACTCTTTATGCTGAATGGAGAAAAAAAAAAAGAAGAAGAAAAGAAACTGACTTGTATAGCCTTGGGTGATATTTGTGACGTGACATGGCCTTCCAAAAGTGCGAACTTAAAAACTGCCTTCATCACTACAGTGCTCCTTCACAGTGCCCGCTATGGAAGATCAGATACCAAGCACATTTTGTTTGATTTCTTTCACTTAGCACCTATTTTCTATCCAGGCAAATTACATAGAAACCCCTCCCCATAACTGCTTGACTTTGCACTGCTTTCCTGAAATTCTATTATTATTACGTTACGGTGAATTTTGGAGTTGTTTCAGATTTTAGGGATCTGTTATACACCCTTCAGGTATGTAACCATTGTAGTGTTAACATTTTATGTACTTGAGAAAGTTGCTGGAATGTCTTCAAAAACAATAATGGGGGAATTGTTGTTTCAGAAAAACTGCATTTAGAGCTTCAGAAAATCAAATGATAATAAGAGTTTGTTAAAGTCATAAAATCTAATAATAATAGTTTGTGAAATTAAGTTTGACGGGTTTTGTAAGTTCGTTTCAACATCCCCCCCTGCTCCCCCCTCAGCTAAGCAGTGTCTTAGCAATACAAGCTCTGATTCTCTCTCACCTGAAGCAGAGCAGGGGCTCAGTGTGGGTAAACTGTGTCGCTATTGGCAACACCTGACCTTTCTTCCTGCTCTAGCTGTGACATCACAACGGCTGTGCTGTTCGCCATGGAGCCCAAGGACTGATTGCATGGCCGCTCCGACCTTGAGTAACTGTTGCCTGCTGACAAAGACAAAAAAAGAGAAGTGACAAATCATTTTCAGTTTCAAGAAAGGCTCACAAGTCTGGGAAGAGGGAACAACAGAATGAAAAAAACCCCGTAACAAACCCCCTTCCCTCATGAACGGAATGTACCCCTGGTTCCTTTCCCCTTCAGAGGTGCTCAGGACGAGGGCTAGGGCTCCAGTTATCAACTGCACCTGCGAGAAGCTCTGGGCTCGAGACTGCGTCTGAGAGAGAGCGACACAGATCACACAGCGAAGTTCAGTTTTCTGCCCGAGTCCGGCCAAACCTGGAACAGGAAGCTGTTTCTGACAGAAATCAGAGAAAAAATGACTAACTCTTTTGTGTCATGTCATGCGACAGTGCAACCTCCGTATTAACCCTTCATAGAGTCAAAGCCCAAAGTGATGGGCAGAATCCTACTGAAAAGTCATCAGGATTTATTTCTTGCCTCAATGGTCTAGTCTTTGTGTCTGCGATTCAGACGCACCACTGATCCGTCTTCCCTTTATTATTGGCAAATTCAAAAGACATAGTTTGGGTTACACTGGGACTGCTTCGGAAATACACCAATCTCATAAAGAAGAACACCTCTAAGGGGTCTTTGTTGGGTTGAGCCATGTTTGACTGACGTCAGCTGTACACTTTTCACAACAAATCAACAGACAAATCGAGTGATCTAAGGCAGTGTTATGCAAGAGTAAACACATGAATCTACGAATAACCTTCTGAATATGAACAGCAGAAGCTGCAAAATGAATGTATCAAATATGGAAGTTGAAGTTGATTTACAAGCACCTTCAGAACCTTAATTAAGAGCCTGTTTCCCTGTCCATTTTCACATTGTTTCAGAACTTGTTCCCACAATGACTCCACTCAGTGTGGGACTGAGCCGGCCCAGATTATAGCTGTAGTTGAACTTGAGAATGTACATCTTGCGTTCCTTGTTGTGATGACATTGATGCGGTACATACAAAGGATCGTCTTGACGTGGAAATGGGAAGAATAGGAATCTGGCTTCATAAACAGAATGGACACAGAGTGAAAGCCATGTTAAACATGTCAACTCAATCACATGACCCATTTAGGCTCAATCTGCGTTTCCACGTGTTTGATTATAACTGCGAGTCCCCTTACCAGTTCTAGCTTGATTTCTCTAGCCTGGCTTTATCTTCTGGGTTAATCACTGAATTACTGTGCTTTTTACAGCCACTTGGTTGGTAACCCTTTCAAAGACAAGCTCTGAGCTCAGATCAACAGAGCAGAGAAGCAGAGCAAACCAGCAGGCTGTGAAAACAGATGGGATCCAAAATTTGTAGGAGTTGCCTCAACTGATGTGGAAACTCTTCCTTGATCTAAACTCCAGAGAGAGAGAGAGAGAATTCTGTTCGTCACATTTTTGCCCGGAGAAAAAACAAACAAACAAACGTTTGGAAACTAGTAATTATGAACAAACAAAAGAAACAGGGACAGAAGATTGGAGCTGCTGAATTCACAATCTGGAGATTTAAATATAGAGTGTGGGATGCATGGACCCAGGCCTGCATTTCAGTACGTGTGAACAGCAATCCAAATAGTTAACAATATTATTGTTCTCATGTCTAGTGATTATACCACTGTTCCACTAATTAAATGACCTCTCCCACTGCCTTCTGTGTGTCTCTTTCTCACTTTTTTACTGTTGTCTGCTGTAGTGTAACCCCCGGATCCCATAATGCCTTCTGCCCTGTGTGTAACAAAACTAAGGCACTGCTCTCCTCAAACAAAGCGCTGTTCACAAACCTAGTTTTGAATTCTGTTCCAGGCAGGTCTTAAAAAAAAAACAATGGAGGAGTTTATAGGTTAGAATTGAGATTCTGTTGTTTCTGCGGGTTAAATTCTGATTCTTCACAGGGTGAAAACGTCCCATGGATAAAAAGTAGCCCATTTTCACTTGAAAATGTAATATTCTTCAGAAACGTTCCCGTGACTGTCTCCATTGCAGAAAGTGGATGTCACAGACACTGCCTTTCCAGACTGTACCTGTTCTTAACACAATTAAAGTGTTGCCAAAGGTGTGATCCCGAGAAGACATTTAATGTTTTTATGTTTTCTAGGAGTGTTTGTAGGAATAGGGGCGACCCCCACCCCCCTTCAATCAGTTACAGAATCTCTGGATAAACAGCATCATGTTTTCATTGTCTACTGCGAGTGTTTTCACAACATGCAGACCAGCTCCACACTGGACAAACAGGTCTTCTCTTGCCAGTCACCATTGTAAGGTGACATATTGCTGCTTAGCAGGTATCCAGCAACCATATCACTCTGCAACTCACAACTGGCAGCTCACTGGAGCTCTGCAGGTGTGAGCCTGGTCAGTACCTGGATGGGAGACCTCCTGGGAAAAACTAATGTTGCTGTTGGAAGAGGTGTTAGTGAGGCCAGCAAGGGGCGCTCACCCTGCGGTCCGTGTGGGTCCTAATGCCCCAGTATAGTGATGGGGACACTATACTGTAAACAAGCGCCGTCTTTCGGATGAGACGTAAAACCGATGTCCTGACTCTCTGTGGTCATTAAAAATCCCAGGGTGTTTCTCGAAAAGAGTAGGGG